TCCTAAAAGCACACTGAAAGTAAGATACAATTACAATGAAATTTGTTTTTGTGATGTTGCCACTTTACACTGCAGGGCTGAAATAACAGGGCATCAAGTCACCTACCACCCTGATATAGATGGCAGGTGACTTGTAAAAAGGAAATGTTCCCCTATGCTCTTTACACATAGAAAATTATGTCACAGAAAAGGATTCCATTCCATTTTCTCCATAATTTCCTAAATGAAGCAAAAATCGAGCAAAATGCAATCTAATGCTAGAAAACCCCACCTCTCCCACATTCCTATGCCATGAAATTGGACGGGGCTGACACATTTCATGAGGAAATGCATATACACAGAGCACACGATATAACATGCATGCAGGTTTGTGGAGAAACCAAAATGTTGGGAGGGAAACAGAGGGAGAATATTGCTGAGGTTTTGCCTCGCAACCTAAACATTTCATACAATGAAAAAGAAACCAAATTCAACCCCCCCCCCATCTATTTTAAAGTTCTCTCTTTACAAAAAAAAAACCTTTTGGTTCAGCCTTAACTCTTCCTTCTTTTGAAAACCTTTCAAGCATTTAAACCTCTCCTCCAAACTATCCTGAAGTGGTAAATTTCAGTTAAAGCTATTAAAGAAAGGAGAGGAGGAAGTTATATTGGACACATGGAATAAAGATAAAACTATATATTACATTCATCACTGGAAGGTCCCAGAAGATATCATCCTTGATGGTCATAACTCCAAACAGGTCAATTACATTTAAAATATTTACTACACGGACAAATTACAGAGAGCAATTATTTTAAAGTTTGTTTCGTTTTACAAATTGGGCAAGAATTATTGATAGTAGAGACTATAGCATATGCTTCAGTCTTTAGTCAGTTTAAGTCTTTGCATGTAGACATGAAACAACTCTAAGAAGCCCCAATGCAGCTGTTGTTCACTGTATGTCTTTCAAATGTGCTGCTTCCCACCCTTTTAATTGTTTCCTTATACAACCCAATTTCTCACCATCGGATGACTCACAAACCGAATGTGTGAACCAACCAATGAAAAGATGAAAGTTCTCCTTTTGGTCTTTGATCCATGCTGGTTTATTAAGGCTCGGAAGCCATCTGCTAATGCTGCAGTTATGGCAAAATGCTGTGTGAATCTGATCTGACTGTCATTGCAACCCTTGGCATAATCTTAACTCTCAAAAAGGCACTGCTGTTTGCTGCAAAATGGAAGACATGTCCTAATTTAAGACCTAGTTACTCAACACTTGTTTATAAAAACCATTATTCAATGTCTTCAAAAGAAAAAAAAGACAACTGCTGATTTTCAGGATATTGAAAAAGGAATACTTTCCTTAATGCTGACCAGGCAAAGATTTTTAGGATGAATGATATTAAAAGAGATTGTGCAGAAATGTCTATTTCAATCAAAATTCAATCAAAATTCAATCATAGAGACCACATGGGCTATCTAGTCCAACCCCCTGCCATGCAGGAAATACACAATCAAAGCACCTACAACATATGGCCACCCAGCCTTTGTTTAAAAGCCTCCAAGGAATATGAGCTTCCACCAAAAATGGTTCAAATTGTGGTGATCTAATCTTAGCTAATCAGGACTAAGAAATGTTCTTGCATTTCCACACTTGCAGTCTAACATTAATATGCCCCCCCCCCACTACAGCTTTAGTTCTAATAGGGTTCTCAAGAAATTTTGCAGGTACTAAACTATGGTTTCTGCTTAAGGGTCTGACGAATATATTCTACATATTTCATCCTTGATAAAAAGGGTGTCTTTCACACACTGAGGCACCCTGTCGAAAAATCACTGACTGTAACAATTGCCTCCTGTCAGAAGTGAAATTAGGACTACTTCCCACCCCATCTATCTGCCCACCATTCACACGAGAAGTCTATTTTCCAATTATTAGGCAAAACATGCACAAAGGGAAAAGAACGACTTATTAATATAAAAATAAAATACAAAACCAAACTCATGCAACTGTTTTGAAAAATGGATGGAAAAAGAGAGCAATATTCACAGTTTGCAGAAGAAATGCTTGTATTATTTCTAAAAAAAAATCTTTTTTCAGAGGCAAGTATTTTTTTCAAAGCATGTGGAAAAATGCCTTCCTCTACTCCCTACCAATATCTTGGACAGCGGTTCATATTGCAATTGAGAGGGAAGTAGTTTCTGACTGACCTGGCCCTGCCTACCATTTAATGAAGTTTCAAGCTAACTTCAAACTGTAACAGACTGACAACGAACGGCCACAAAAGTGTGTGAAAGAGAGCCCTGAATGCGCATCAGTGCTCTGTGGTTTGTGCAATCACTATCCAGGTTTCAAATTGTTTCCAGGACTTCCTATTTAATCATCTGCACAGGAAAACCACTTTTTTCACTACTGATTTGAGTGGTCAGAATAAATGTGCCCATATTTAAATACTATTTTTAAAGATTTCAAATCTTTGATTAAGATCTAAAATTACAAGGAAAGCAAGTGATCAAAGCATCTGATAGCTCCCCCGTGTCTGTAACATAATAGTGTGTAATGTTTATACAAAATAGTTTTTTACATTATCATATTTTAGCAGGCTTTGTATACTAAGAAAACTGAGTTTTGATCAGCTAAATAAACTGCAACATCATAGTATGGCTTTAACATGGTCTGCACAACAGAACTGTGATCTCTACAGAATAAGAGCTAATCCCACAACTCCCATGGATTTGTGCAACTGTCATATGACCTCATCAGATGGGCAAAATTCAAAATTCAGATGGGTAAATGCTGATTCCTCTTCAATTTCACCACAGAGCCCGCCAGCTCTCATCCCACGATGTACATCTACTTCCAGCACGGCTTTGTGTCAAAACTGAAGCAGAACTGGTGAACTGGTGAATGCCGTTGTGAGGCTTCATGTGTTGCATACAGAAGACTTCCCATGTGGTATATAAATCAATGGAGAGAAGCCAAGCAGTGTATGCTCCCCCCCCCCCGCCCCCCAACATGGAATGAGGTAAGAGGGTACTGGGCGACAGGTTCCCTATGCTCCCCACCGGGCTCGCCTCAATCTATGACTATTCCACGGCAAATGTGATGAGATTCTTAGTGAAAAAAGCACAAGTGGCTCTGGAAAAAACACAGTCCTAGAGATATTGTTTTTCAAATTCTAGCTAATTTTCTATCATCTTTGATTCCATCTACACTGACTATTTAATGCCTTTCAAACTATTATTGAAGAAAGTGGTTTTGCTATGCAGGAAATTACATAGGAAATCTTGGAACCAGTTTGAGGTCTGGATGGTGATAACACAAACCATAGAATACTGATGCACATTAAAGGCTTTCTTTTGCACACTTTTTGGGAGGCTGTTGTCTGGCTGACAAAGTTTGAAGCAAGTTTCAAATGACATTAAATGGTCAATGTAGATGGGACCTTAAGAGATGTGATTTGGGACTTATGGGACTTATTCAGCACAAGATTTGCAAAGGAAAAAAAAGCATTTTCTAAATGGGGAAATAAAATGTCAATGCAAAAATATTAATTTCTATATAGAAATGATGTTCTAAGCAAATCAACCAAATAAGTTTCTATGCGCAAGAAATATATTAAAATAGTATTTTCTGGATAGAAAATGCTGTTTTGTGTACCCAAAAATGCTGTTTTCTGAACAAAATAACCATGTGCAAATTTTGCGCACAATAAATACCAAACCGCAAAGATTCTTGATAATGACAGCAAAGGTGTCATTATCTCAGCCACCAATGCACACAATTTTGGGTTTTATGATACTTCAGATTTCAGAATTCTGGATAAGGGATGCACAACCTGCAAAAATTGACCAGTCATTTTCTCTCTTTCTCATTCAAATGGGAATTAAAAAATTCTTAAAAGCTGAATGGACAACATAAGACTTTTACTGAACAATCTATATCCAGTTCTACTGGGCAATGTTTGCTCTGGTTTGGTAACAAACAGTTCCATTGATTCAACAGATTTACTCCAATTAGGACAAGCATTTGGATTTAAGTCATAGTCTTTAATTCTGTGTGTGTGTGCACACATGTGCATATGCCCTCAAGTTGTCTGTTGACCACATGAATTTCATAGGCTTCTCATAGGGCCCTTCCACACAGACCTATATTTTTGAATATCAAGGCATAAACCCCACAATATCTGCTTTGAACTGGGTTACTGGAGTCCACATTGTCATATATCCCAGTTCAAAGCAGAAAAATGTGGGATTTTCTGCCTTGATATTTTGGGATATAGGGCTGTTGGAAAGGCCCATAGGCAAGGAGTATCCAATAGTTTTGTCCATTTTTTCCTCTGCAATATAGCACTCAGTGCCTAGTATTCGTTTGCTGTCTCCCATCTAAGTACAAGCAGGGTTGTCCCTGCTTAGGTTCTAATTACTGTTAGCTAAAGGTTCATTGACATCGTAGAATTAATGCAGTTTGACACTGCTTCAACAATCATGGCTTAATGCTAGAGAATCATATGAATTGTAGTTTGGTGAAGCACCAGCACTCTTTGACAGAAGAGGTTGAAGACCTTGTAATACTGCATAGCTCATAGCTGTATGTTATTAGTTGATGGTACAATAATCAAGAAATGAATATTATGTGTAAACCTGACCCCTAACATTCCATACAAGGGAAAGAAAAGGTGTGTGTCTATTTCTCTCTCTGTGTATAAAGGCAATCTCAATGAAAATAGATATTTAGTGTTATGTAAGTCTTTGGGGAAATACTAATTTATTATACATAAAAAATGCATTCCGTTTTCTTCTCTTTGCACATTATGTAATGCCATGTAACAGTGAAACCATATTTTAAAAGCAAATTCTATCTCAGAGAACTGTGTGTGGAAAAATAGTTGTAAAACTACATTGAAATTAATATCGTAAGAGACCATGGCAACATATCCCCATGCAATACAAAATGTCAAGCTAGCAATAAAAAACCCTCACAAAACACAGACATATATATCTAACATTACACTTCTCACCTGCAGTTCCAGAGAGTTCCACACTTAAAGTTTGTTCAATAGTCTTGTTCTCAAATGGGGAACCCTTGGGATCACTGGAAGACAGGGCACATTTATAAAAACAAGCTGAAATGGAGTTGCTGTAGCCAAAATGTATTTAAAAACCCCTCCCTGATGTCAATATTTACAGTTCTTGATACTTACTTTGGTGACTCGGGCGTCAAAGGAAGCGATAAACTCATTGGTTTGGCTAAAGGGAGGAAAGGGGGAGCAGAAAATCAATTGTGACATATTGAGAAAGGATTGGTGATTGTTATCTATCTATCATCACTATTATTTGAATTAAGGTACAGAGAACCCACCCCCCACTTCCTCAAAATATATAGATGCCCCACATTTTAACTTTCCCCATAGTCTTATATTATAAAGTATATGCATTGATCTACTTTGCACCACCACTCAATTTCCCAAACCCCAATCGACAAATGGGCTGCTAATTTGGAGGACACATAAACCTACAACACAGTGATGCCTTCATCTGCATTTTACGTACCTTACTTTGTACTATTGATATAGCAAGTTCTGAGAAAAGTAGGGTGCAAATTAAACCAACCAACCAACCAACCAATCAATCAATCAATCAGTAATGAGTCAGGAAGGAAAGAGGGATTTAGATCAAGTAGCAAGAGCATCTACATGCCTTGCACTGGACAGGATCCACTGCAGACCTCTGAAGGCATAATAACAGAATCCAGAAGAACCAAGTGCACATTTACAACAGAGTTTGAAGGTAGCTTGACAGTGCAGTGGTTAGACAAGGCACACCACAAACGTGTGCAACAGTATGATTTAAGCCTTTTAAACCAAGATAACCAAAGTTGGGAGACACTCCGAAATAAAGCCCTTAATGTGCATCAACACGTTTTAGTGTAAAGCACTTTGCATGGTGAAAGTACTTAAGGATGGGGTGCTCCAGAGATCTGGAGGAGGGGTTTGGGAAAAATGCAGATCTTACAACAAGTTTGAGGCCAGCCTCTGTGGTATGTATAAGCACCATGCAGATCTTGGACTAGTTCCAGGACTTCCCAACTAATCATCTGCAAACTGAAACCACTTCCTTCTCTGTTGGTTTCAACCTAAGTTGTCTGTGTAGCTGTACTGCAGGAGAGGGTCAGCCTTTCCCTTTCCACTGCAGTACCTCATGTACCCTGGAGAGGGCTGCATCAGAGAAGAAAGGGCAAAGAAAGTTCTGGAAGTTCTACCAATATAAAACAGTGGATTTTGCCAATTATGCATGGTTCTGGCTCATGCACGTGTATTATGAATTAAAAAAAAACCAACAGAACCATTCACAGCAGACTGATTTATGTCAACTGTTATGCCTCTGCAATATAGACCTGAAGAACTTAACAAACTATCAAGGCAGAGACCACACTGTGAAAATGTGTTCCTCTCATATTTAATTTAGACTACAGTTCACGTTTCACTTGGATATGACAGCAGCAGTCTAACTACAAAGCAACAGAAATCTATGAATATTCAGTTGATTTTGCATGTACTGTACAATATACTGTCTATACATAAACACTAGAAAAATCAGTTTTTTTCATCCAAATATGATCGAAACATATGCACATTATTCTAAAAGGGGGGTATGGTGACAGGCACTTGCAAATAGATTAAATTGTTGTTTAACTTCATCATGCTAAAACTCTGAGATCAAATAACAGTGATATTAAAGGTTCTTTTGCACATTTGTTTCAATGTGATAGGGTTAAGAATACCTTGTAACAGCTATTTTCTGTCATTCAGTCACACACACACCCCCCCCCCCCAAGAAAAACTACAAAGAAACAATGTACCTAAGATAGGATAAGTCTCTGGACAGATTTCTTTTCAGAGCGTCTGGCTCCTATTTGACCCATGACAGGATGGCTGGGGTACCCATGGAGCCCTAAACTGACCTTTGCTGAACTATGCAATGCACACCAGCCCTAGCCAGTCAAGTCAAAAGTAAGGCATGGGGAGAACAGTTGGAAGTACCCTACCCAAGATTTGTGGAAACATAAAATACATTTTCATTGCATTTTATATAGGACTACCTACTCATAGAAAACCCTGAAAATGATGAGGAATATCGGAATAAATTGAAGACTTCCATCATCACAGGCCGATGGACAAAAAAGGCTCAAGAAACCCAACACCTTGCTGATGTCAATGATGCATGGGGATGCTTAATGCCACAAACGTCATCTAGGGACCAAGAAATCATGGCATACACATTCTTTGTTCATCAGATGGAACCAAACTTTTGAAGGATAAAATATCAATCATACTACATTGGAAAGAGCACTACCACAACTTCCCAACTGCAGCTCCAATATGGTCAAAGAGGTTCTCTCACAAATCCAGCATCAAGAAGCCAGGGATGAGCCTCCAGCACTGCCTACTTTGGACGAAGTCGGCAAAGCAACAACAACAAAGCCAGAAGACCTGATGGGATCCCTGCCGAAATCTTTTAAGAAGGTACATCACAGCTGACATAACAACTCCACCAGTTCATTGAAAACGTGTGGGAGACTAAGAAAATAAAAAAGGGAAAGAACAGAATCCTTGCAGACCGCCTTCTACCTATTTCAGAAGACATCCTGCCAGAATCCCAGTAGGGCTTCTGCCCCTCCAGAAGAACACTGGATATGATCTCCACTGCGTGACAACTCCAAGAAAAAGGCAGGGTACATAATCAACCTCTGTATGTGACATTCATTGACCCTGCAGAGGCATTCGACACAGTGAATCACGGTGTTCTATGGGTCATCTTCCAAAAAATCAGGTGCCCTGTCAAATTTGTGAATTTCCTGCAGTTTCTCAATGATAACAACAGTCTTGGACAGCTGTGGCTCCCAAATCAACCAATTTAAGGCAGAATCAGGTGTCAATCAAGGATGTGTTATTGCCCCAACCTTATACCCCATCTTTATCTATATGATACTGCACCTTGTTGATGGGAAGCTTCCTACCAGTGTGGAAATCGTATATCGGACAGATGGCAAGCTATTTAACCTCAGCAGACTAAAAGCCAAAACCAAGGTCACAACAACATCTGTTATAGAACTCCAATATGCTGATGACAACATCATCTGTGTGCATTCAGAATAAGACCTACATGCCACCATAAACATCTTCGTAGAAGCATACGAGAAGCTCGGCCTGTCATTGAACATTGAGAAAACTAAAGTGCTCTTTCAGCAGGCACCAGACAATCCCTCTGCAATGCCAGAAAGACAGGTTAATGGTGTAATGTTAGAAAATGTTGACCATTTCCACTACCTTTGCAGCCACCTCTCCACAAAAGTCAACATTGACACTGAAATACAACACCGTTTGAGCTCTGCAAGGGGAGCATTTTTCCAAATGAAGCAGAGTGTTTGAGGATTGGGACATTCGTGGGGAAACCAAGATGCTTGTTTATAAAGCCATTGTCCTCCTAACCCTGTTATATGCCTGTGAAATGTGGACCATCTACAAATGTCACACTCAACTTCTGGAACAATTCCATCAGTGTTGCCTCTGAAAAATCCTGCAAATCTCTTGGGAAGCCAGGTGAACAAATATCAGCATGCTGGAAGAAGCAAAGACCACCAGCATTGAAGTAAAGCTCCTTTGCCATCAACTTCACTGGACTGGCCATGTTGTATGAATGCTTGATCACCACCTTCAAAAGCAGTTGCTATACTCCCAACTCAAGAATGGAAAACAGAATGTTGGTGAACAAGAAAAGAGATTTAAAGATGGGCTTAAAACCAACCTTTAAAACTGTGGCAGAGACACTGAGAACTGGGAAGTTCTGGCCCTTGAGCATTCTAACTGGAGATCAGCTGTGACCAACCGTGCTGTGGAATTCGAACAGGCACGAATGGAGGGCAAAAGTGAGAGTCATGTCAAGAGAAAGATGTGTCAAGCCAACCATGGCCGGGACCACCTTCCACCTGGAAATTGATGTCCTCACTGTGGAAGAACATGCCGATCACAAATAGATCTCTACAGCCACCTATGGACCCACTGCCAAGACATTATACTTGGAAGAAAATCATACTTGGACACGAGTGATTGCTGATTAATGATGATCCAAGATTTGTGGAAACATAAAATGCATTGTAACAGCATTTTATATCACAGAATTCATATTCAATGTGTCTAAAATGATCCCAAAACTTCACATTCTACTAGCGGGGTAAGTAGTAAAATGAGTGGATATCACTGGGAAAAGAGTGCAGGGAAAAAGAATTAACCCCAGTCCTAATCCTAATTCACAAATGAACAGTAGCTACAGGTCCTAAATCTAAAAGGCATTCGAGGTCAGGAGGTTTGGTCACAGACCTCCAATGTTCCATTTTTTTTTCATGCCAGGAGCGACATGAGAAAATGCAAGTTGCTTCTGGTGTGAGAAAATTGGCCATCTGAAAGGGGACACCCAGATGTTTTACCATCCTTATGAGAGGCCTCTCTCATGCCCCCACATGAGAAGGTGGAGCTGACAGAGGGAGCTCAACTTGCTCTCCTCTGATTCCATTACTTGATGTCCTTTTCTTGATCCTGAGTGTTGAAATCCATAATGAAATGCCAGTGCATTCCCATATATACAACTGAATGCATATTCAATGTGTTTAAAAGTTCTGCCTGAACAAATCAATCTCTTTGTTTCATATGCATGTCTTCTATCTGCATATTTAGCAAAACAAAGGAAATAGATAGAAACTCTTCTGAGTCAGTCTTCCCCCACCGCCCATTAGGAGCAATAAGGCTTCTTGATCTATAATGTAGTTCCTCTCCCACCTTATTGACTTTGGTTCTTTTGCCAGCACATAAAGTATGCTTCAAAAATTAAGCACCAATATTTAGTCAACCAGTCTTGCATAAATATATAGAATCGAAACTATTGATTCAGTCAAGATTGGAAATTAAGAAAGTAGGGGGATTTTTTTAGGTTGGTGGGGGGGGGGGGTGCTACCTGTCTTTTCCCTAGCTCGGTTTTCTGAAATGATGAAACACAGTTCTTGAATTACTTGATGTGGTACCTTGAACCTTTCAACTTTTGGGATGGCCCCTAAGTGTCACAAGGGCAAGATTTAACTCAATTTGGAGATTGGCAGTGTAGAAATACAATTGTATCATGTGGTGTAAAGTTGATTAAAAATTAAACAAAACAAGAACATCTGTTTTTTTGCCATCCCTCTGGATGCAAGTGCTTTCTCCGACTGTAAGATGGCATATTCTTAGCATGACAAGATAATTCGAAACATGAGATTGTGCTTTCCTAGTGCTTGGAAAAGAACTCTTTTTTTTTTGGACTACTGGCTATGTTAAGTGGGGGATTCTGTAAGAGGGAGTTAAAAAAACCCTTAACTTTTAAAATTCTGCACCTTCTTCATATTGCAGTCTATTTAAGACAGAAATACTCCCACACTCACTCAGCTAGTGCTATGGTTTAGGGGAGTAAGATAGGCAGGGAGGGAAATGAAATGAAATTTACATTTGTTGGCTACACTCTCTGTTCCCCAAGCTACAATCCACAACCCCATTTCTCTTGATCAATGATGTCCACATATTTTCTGGTATAACAGACGGTTGTTGAGAAAGGTATGTTTTAAAAAATATAGCCGTTATTTTAAACAAACAAACAAAAAACAGGTTTCCTTAGAATTCTACATTTTTGGAAGGAATTAGCAACAGGAAGAGAGAAAAACAACAATACTACCATGTCTGTGTGCACGAGGGAAATCTTTACAATCTTGCAATCATGCCCTAGGGGTTACCCACACTAAAACATACTTCTTAATACCACTGGAGGATACCAAACGTCTTTAAAGATGCTTTGTTGGCCGTAAAGAATTTTTGTTATTTTTTCTATTGAGTGAGCAAAAGCAGTAAGAACAGTTCCTATACTTGATGCCATTTAGAAAATAAACAATAAGATCAGTGGTGGTTTTTATAATAGGACTGACACATTTACTGCCGATTCAGAAGCTGCAAGAAAGCTGTTTTTATTGTCTCTTAAGGAATACACTGAAAGTTAACAGTGTCTTCATTTGAGCCTGATAAAAAGCAGAGGGCCTCCCTAATGAACTATCTTGCCCAATTTGTCCAGAATGGTAATTATTTTCTAATACACATCAGTAGTTTTGTCCTGTTAACCTTCTACAACATGCTTGTGTTGCCTCTTTTTATTATTGTCTGTCTCATCTCTTTAATACAGAACCATTGTAGGCATTATAAGGTGTCAAACCCAAGGTATGCCACAGATATAGCCAGTCCTTAATTAGCAATTGCTCAAGGTGCTGATAAATACATGTGTAATGCATTGATACTATGCATACTCAGATATATTCTTAAGATACCTTAGGTGCAAATGTAAAAATCAGCATGTGTGGCTCTTTCCATAACTGATCTTCTGAATTCTATTTTAATAACGCTTTCAGCGAATGCTGATATTTGTTTGGTTGGTTGCATTGCTGCAAGTCGCTTCTGGTGTGAGAGAATCAGCCACTTACAAAGATGTTACCCAGGGGACGCCTGCAGGGAGGCTTCTCTCATGTCAGGGAAAACCAGCTGATTCCTAATCCATTTAAAACACAGACATGTGTTTTTCACTTTAAGAACAGACAAGTATCTTGAGCTCTAAGGATTACCTGGGAAGGAATCCCACTGGAGGATTGCAGAATATCCAAATACCTGAGAGTTACCCTGAACAATGTTCTGACTTATAAGAAGCACTGCTTGAATATCAAGCAAAAAGTGAGTGCTAGAAATAATATTGTACGAAAGCTGACTGGCACAACCTGGGGATTACAACCAGACACAGTGAAAACATCTGCCCTTGCGCTTAGCTACTCTGCTGCTGAGTACGCATGCTCAATGTGGAATACATCTCACCATGTTAAACAGTGGATGTGGCTCTTAATGAGACATGCCGCACTATCACAGGATGTCTACATCTGCTGGAGAAATTATATTGTTTAGTCAGTATTGCATCACCTGATTTCTGCTGGGAAATAGCAGCCTGTAATGAAACGACCAAGGCATTGACACCTCCAGCCCATCCTCTGTTTGGATATCAGCCAGCAAGCCAGTGCCTTAAATCAAGAAACAGCTTCCTAAGATCTACAGAGATATTCGCAGGAATACCAAAGCAATCAAGAGTTCAAAGGTGGCAGGCGAAAACCTGGAACCTCTGCCAAATGAAAGACTCCCTCCTGGGCACACAGAAGATTGGGCAACCTGGAAGGCTCTGAACAGGCTGCGCTCTGGCACCGCGAGATGCAGAGCTAATCTTAAAAAATGGGGCTACAAAGTGGAGTCCACAACATGTGAGCAAACCACTGACCACCTACTACAATGCAATCTGAGCCCTGCCACATGCACAATGGAAAACCTTCTCACAGCGACACCAGAGGCACTCCAAGCTTCTGGTTAAAGGACATTTAGCATAATGCCAATCTTTTAATTTTGTGTTTTATATACATTATAACACAATAATTCTGACACAATAAATAAGTAAGTGAATGTTGATTACCATTAACAATGAAGGGACTGCATAAATGATGATTAAAAGAGTGAATCTGCACTACAGTTATAGAAGTTTTGTTTCACTTTAAATGCTATGGCATGATAATTTTAAATGCTGAGATTTATAGTCTGATGAGATATTTAGCACTCTGTGTACATAGACACAACTTCATAGTAGAAAATATCTTGTGCTACATGAAATAATTGTGGTTAATGTGATAGGAAACTGATTGTTATGCAGATGCACTGAAGTTAGGGCAGCTTTGGCTATTAAGCCCTGTAGAAGCCAACTATGGCACTGGGGCCATCTGAAAAAGCTCTCTTTCGGTTTCCCCTTTCACCTGAAGCAAGGCAGATGATAACTTTAGGAAAGGGCTCCATTGCTGGTAGATTGTTGCTTATGGAGTACTCTTCATTATCAGATTTATATCACTAGTATTTAAAAGTTCTTTCTGATCTTGCTTTAATTGATGTTTTAATAAATAATAAATAGATAGTAATCAATGGTTTCTGTTGTAATGTTGTCTGGCTTTATTATGTTTTCTCCTTTGTTTGTAAATTTCAATTGAAGGGGCAAAGAAATGCTCCACGTTAAAAAAATGAATTACTATGAATAATTAATTTCATAAATATAGTAAATTAATAGAATGCCTTTGAAATGTCTTATCTGTCAAGGGTCAGCTGGTGCTCTCTTTACAGTCATATCAGTCAAATTCCTTTTTAAAAGGTTTTCCAAGTTTTTAAAGAACTGCTAACATTAGCATTTATAACTTAATCGCAGTTTAGCATAACCATTTGCCACCTATTTGGATGCTGTTTTCCTATGGGGCTTTGCTGTGTTATTTTATCTATTTTATTTTAATTTTTTTTTACTTCTGAGTGTACTGCATGTTTTTTTTGTTTATTATTTCCCAAGAACCTAAATATATGTTCAAACTGTGAGATAGAGGCAATGTAAATAAAGAATAATAAATCAAACAAACCACAAAAGAAAGGGGCCTTGATATTCTGGCATCTTTCCAATATATGGATTTGAAGTGACCATAATTTTGAAAGAGTCAATAGGGATTTCAGGCAACAAAGCGCAGGCAGCTATGGGCAAATATGGTACATGAAAACAGATCAGTCGAGACATCCACATGGCCAATCACTTTTTCACAACTTGGCCTACACTATAGGGTTGTCACAGGGTAAGTTGAAAGGAAGGGAACAGTTGAGTCACCTTCTAATCACTAATCCATTTATATAACAAACAATGATTGAAAAATGTATGGACCAAGGATAAAGACACATTTGTATGCTCAAAACCCAGGAAGAATCAGCTATACCTCTTGGCTCCACTAAATGCTTCTAGAACACAACTGTTCAATGTCCTAAGCATCTAGAAATGCTATTTCAGCAAGCACAAACTAGAGTATTTGTTCTTCTCCACCTCTACTTCTACTGTCTCCCCATGTTCATAGGAAATGGGAATGAGCACTCACTGCCAAGACAATGGTTTTCCCCAGTACTATCCAGTGAACATAGGATTACCTTGCAAATGATGCATCTGAGAATGCAAGAGCACCTTCTTTTTAGAGGTGCATTTGTCTCTGCTGCTGTTCCTGTTCTCTGTTGGTTTGGTCTGTGGAGGGTCATCGTTGGTGGTCAGATACTTGAGAAGCTCCGAGCATTGACGTCTTTGTGGTTTTTGTGGTTGACAAATGCTCTTCGTCTTATTGCTCCATGAATTCTCAGTCTTAAGATGCAAGTCACAATAAAAAGGGGGAAAGAAGAGGAGGGGAGGGGAGGAAGAAGAAGAAAAAGAAAGCTAAATTAGTGAACTGAACCTTATCAGAATGGATATAGGTTTCCTGAATAGATGAGATTTTCAGTCAAGTGTTTGGTCTAAGTGTACTAGATCTATGAGCTGTGAATAATTGTTTGCAGAACAAGGAAAGAAAATTACATTTAAAATTCCTAAATGACAGTTATGCAGCTTTTTATTTCATTTCTCTTACATTTCAATGCTCCTACTCAGCAACATATAACTAACAAGACCCTACAGTGCCTTTACTATGAACGGGGGCTAGCAAGGGAAGAGATATGCTGGTTTAAACCTTAATTTGCTGCTGATTGCTCAAGCCCAGCATTCGCAACTCTCTTAAGTACCCCTAAACGCTCTGTTTTCAGTTACAGTCAATGGCAAGACAAACATTGTTTAATACAGCCAGCTAACAGAATTACACCACTGCCAGCATCAGAGGCAATTAATGGCTGATCTTTTTCTAAGTTATGCTGCAAGTGAAGTAGCAGCCTGGAACTGCATGTCAAGACGTCAGCTCATGGATAATATTTTAATGGCAATGTCTACTATTCTCCACAAAGAAAAAGTAATAAGACTGTAAAGAGGCCCATTAATTCTGGTTAGGGTAGGCATAACATGTATTATTCAGAACATTAAAAGAAAGAAAATCCACTTTTCTTTTTTTGTTTGGGATATTTCCTGCCACCTATATACCTTTTCCGCCCCTCTTGTCACTATCAGAAATGTCTTAGGCAAATGAAGTAAATATACCAAGGTCCTTGTGCTATTTCTTGGACAGCAGCAATCTAGTCTTTGTGATGAAGCAGGCAACCATATTTCCCCTTCCATCTATGTAATCATGTATTAAACAGTGGTGCTCAGTATGGAGGCATGCATGGATGATGGCCAATTTAAGTTTCAGCACCTTAACACATGCATGTATCTAAATGTACATGCACGTATGCACACACACACACACACTGCAACCTGAGTGGAGGCAATCATACCAATTTGCCCAATGGACCTCTGTACAGAGCACCAAATCACAGTACTTCAAGGAGTAATGGAAGAGTTGAACATAGGTTACTAGTAGTACATAGCCCCAGTAAGTATCTGACATAGGCCATACTTTGTGATTGAAAGGACTGCTCCACTCTTCTCCCAAATGCTCTTTCATATCATATTTATATGTAGTGAATAATTGAACTCTGTACCTTAACCACCACAGGGCTTGTTCTGATCCTATGATTGGCATTTGCATGGTTGTGCGTGCTGAGGCCACTGCATTCATTGTAATTTAGCTGGATGTTAGCTGGTGCCAACAAGAGCTTCTTAAGCTGCAGGCATAATGGGGGGTGAGGGGTTTGGGGTATAGGAAAGGGGAGAGGTTAGGAAGAAAGAGAAATGAGGTTATGCATTTCTGACTCTTTGGCTTTCTTTTATCAGAATGAGCATTTCACATGTCCTTTCTGGCCAAACATGCTTACATGTCTAGAAGCAAACATACTGAGAAAGCAGGAATAGCTCTATTCTGCTTCCAAGGCCTGTTAGATGTCCACTTATGGATGTATATTTAGCATATATGGACAATATCCATCATGCAAAGTTAACATAGGTAAAATCTTGTAAACGTTCAACCAGTATAGGCCTTGGCATCTTGAAAATGACTGAAAGAAGCCCTATTAAAACATTATGCTGACTATATGGTCATTTTGCAGGTCCAGAGGCAGGACAGACACACAGAGAGCTGGTGGAGGCAACTCTGCCTTCCCTAGAGGAATGTCTAAAATAGGCTGCTGTTCATCGGCTCTAGGAAAAGACAGAACAGCATTAGAACTTTCTCTGCTCATATTCTAGTACTGTAAAGCCACCAGGAATGGGGAGTAACGCTGCTGGAAAAAAAAGAAATGCATTCTTGTTTCAGGACATTATTTCCTGTCAAAATAGCAGTCGTATACTAATGCTCCACAGTATATGTCAGTCCTAATTACCTATACGGATGGATGGGGGGCAAGATATCCAGAGGAGCCTCCTTTTGTCTCCTGGAAGAGCTGCATCTACTGAAACAGCCAGTATAGCTTCTCAAAAAGAGAACTCAGAATGTCAGCTCTGAAGACCTTTGGGGTATATCACTGCAGGCTGTTTCAAAGATTACTGATTTTTGTACTTCTGAACTTCTCACTCTACATAACAGCCATGCAGAGAATCCCATGCCTTCAGTACCACCTGTGTGCAAATGGTATAAGCTCAATCTGTCTACTCCCAAATTTGCCCCTCATTAACATCTTGCATCACCATCTACGCCTCTGATATTTCAACCCACATATTTTGTTGTTGTCACAAACGCAGAATGTCCAAGAATAATGTTCTTTGTTTTGTTTCCAAGCCAGCCTTTCCCTGTTTACGTTTCTTATCTATTTACAATATTGCACTGCGAAAGTTTATAGTTTCCTGGTGTGTGTTTGGGGAGTGAAGCGTGGATCAGTGGGAGGGGCTCATGGCATTCTAATCATTGTTATTTTAAAAACCAATTAAACCATAGGTATTTTAATTATTTGTAACAAAAAAGTAGTATTTCTTTTTTTAAAAAAAATCTGCTACAATAGCAACTGTTTTGGAAGCATCAGGACTGTAACTAATCATTCTAACAAGTGGTTTCCCTAGGTCTGGTACTTCTCCATTTGGCATTTTTTATAACTATAGAACTTCTTCTTTACACTTTCAGCAAGTGGTCTGCCTAGGTTTCACCTTTATTTATGTCTGCACAGCAGTGTTTTCCTCAAGTCTTTGACCTTCCATGCTCCTCTGACTCCCCTCTACAGTTCCCTACACTGGCTCTTCTATCAAGCTCCTTGCTGTTGCCTTCAGAAGCTTTCACTGCAAGCTCCCCAACCTTGTTTCCCTATTTACCTGGAAGCCTAAATTCCATCTCAAAACCTACTTTTTCATCCTGCCATTACTGATTCCTTGCACGTACATCTGAAGCATTTGCATGCGGTTATTATGTTTACTGCTGCCTCCACATCCATTCCCTTCTTCTGTTCTTGCCTGGGTACTGAAGGTGCCATATATTAAAAAAAACACATGGAAGCTCACACATTTAACCTAAAACTGCATTCGTGCCAGCTGTACATCCAGCGTCCGCTTCAAGAAGCTAAAGGCCAGCATGGCATCCCAGATGGCATAAATAAAGAAATGTCTCTATAAAAATTTTGATTATTAAAAGTTGACAAAAGAACCCTGAATTTGTAGATCTTTGTAAATCAATATGCCATCTGGCAACAGACCACTAGATGTCTTATCTTATTAACCTTCATATGTGAATGTCTAGCTGAGGTTTTGGATTCCCCTTCCCTCAATTACTTTGGACCCTTTTTGTTCTTTGACCAATAAAAGCAGAGGCAGGCAATCTGTGGTTCACACAATTTAATTTCTCTAAATCCTATTCCAGCAAACAGTGGCAGTTGTTTCTATTTGCTTTATAAGTTTGTGTGTGTTTTCTAATTGTGAGTTTGTATCCTGACTTTGATGTTGAATCTTCACATGTCTTGTCACAAGTTTTGAACTACACAAGAGCTCTGCAATGTGGGAAATGGCCCTGTACGCTGAGCCTCGTTCCTACAGAACAAGAAAGATAAAAAGCCTACTTCACAGAGTTGTCAAAAAGATGAGCAACATAAGGCTTACAAAACCATTTTACACATTGGAAAATGATATATTAGTAGTTACCCTAGGCCAGAAGGGAATTGTGGCTGTTTTTCCCCCTCAAAGGTACATTTCATCTATGAGTTTACAAATAACAGCAGTGGGAAAGCCTGTTTTACCTGGGGACCTCACAACTAATCTTAAATGGAGACAGTGCCCAAGGGCATAGGTAAAGACTTCCAAATTCATAAGGTCACAAGCATTTGTTGTCACGTACACACAGGCACATAACTACATACTTTATTTCACAGATATATATGAAGGGATGCACATTCTCCCCTTTATCATCATCTCTTGATTAGTCATAACAGAAGAAATATAGATGAGATCAAAAGGGGAAGAAAAATATAAGGCAGAGGTGAGTGCCCTGTGGCCCATAATCTAATTTCAAATGGCCTGTGTAAACAATCATCAAAAGATGAGTTGTTCTCCCACCATCCTACTGCACAATCACAGCAGACAATAAAGAGCAATAAAAGATGGCATTTTCAAAACATCTTTCCTAATTTTGTGGAGAAAGGAAAGGGTGCCAGAAGGAGGGAAGGACACAATGTGAAAGAAGTAGGGGGAAGAGGCCTGAACATTTTTTTCCCTCTGATCCTACTCACTGCCAACATTTACCCCTGATAAATCACCCTAACAGAATATGGCCTTTTGAAAGGCTCATCTCTCCTGTAGTAAGAAGTGGAGATGGAAAGGGATTACTAGTTTTTCATGTTGTTCTCCTGTCATCTATCACACTCCTGTGAGGCAAATGAGCTGTTACTCCCCTCTTTTGTAAAATGGCAATGAGCAGGAATTACAGCAAAGTACTAGCATGATGAATATTGCCCACAGAAACTATAGCTAGCCAGCTATGGGACCAAGTCTTCTGCCAGGGATAGCCCACATTAATGTTGTTCATATATTAAATATCCTGGCAAGGAATCTGGCATAAGAAACATTTTTCTACACTATTGGAAATTCTAGTGCAAAGGTATAGAAAAATTATAGATAAATAGGGCCAGATCCACACTTAGTACAGGTAAAAATCAACCCATTTAATAATGAATGTCATGGCCGGTTGCAATACATAAACTATAAGCATGTTTAAGTCTGTATCCTATCCATAGTGTTAAAAGACAAACAGTATCTCAAAGTAAACAAGATCTAAGACAGACTAGTTTTTTATGCCAGGCAAAGCAAGTAATATGAATTTTCTTGGTGGTTGATAAAATCATTTGGGAAATGCGTGTTACAAGTTATCTTGATAGTCACAGCTATAAGATACTGAACTCCTCAGTTCCATTATGATTGAAAGATAAAAAGAGTCCTCTGGCAGCAGAATCAGGTTTTGTAATGTTAGTTTCGGGAAAGTCTTGCAGTCACTTTTTTCACCCATAACTTCTTGGGACTTTCCGAGCATTTTATTTACTTTAACCATTTCTCACAAAATGTCATATTCCAGATGTGTTGGTTTACAATTCCTTTCAACCCTGGCTTGTGGATGGGTGGGGGATGATGGTCATTGTAAGCTAATAAATAGGTTTTGATGCTAATAAGTTCTTAAGCAGTTTGAGAATGTTGGTGGGTTCGTCTTCCCCAAACTGAACATCAGCAAGTCATATTATCAGCATCTGTGCTTTCCCCTTCGAGGCCGGCCCATTTTGGGGTGTGCTTGTTATTTCACAAAGTGACACATTTTGTACTGGGACCTTCAATTACCAATCCACAAAGGAAGTAAGAAACACATTTCCGTTATCTACCAAGCAATACTTACGAAATAACTGTTAACTATCTAAGCCAAAACTGAATCCAATCTTCCTTAATAAGCATTGACTAGGAAATCATTAAAAGAGAAGTTTGCCAAAGATTCTGAAGGAATAAACATGCATTCAATAAATTTCAAACTTTTTTATGACCACAATGATAAGACTATCAGTTATCAGAACAATATCTAACTTCGGATTTAGTTCAACAGAATTCTGTAGCTGGCACATCTGATATTTTTTCCAGCCAGTTCCCATCCAATACACAAAACACACACATATATATTTCTAAACGCAGTTTTGTTCTCCTTGGGTTTTCAACCTAAATGAAAAGACCAAACCTTATTGCGGCTACATCATACCCATGCAGTGGATAGTCAGAGGGCACCTCCATTTCCCGTTAAACACTAGGAAGGTAGATTCTTACTAGAGACGGCTCTTCTGCCTCCTGCGCTGGAGGGGTGCCGTCAGGCATTGGTGAAGGGCTAGCATCATTTTCGTTGGTCACATCTCCATCTGTCAGTGCATCAAATGAAGGCAATCCATCTTCATCCACAGGAATACTGTCCAAAGTCTCTGTGAGAACTGCTAGCAAGTTTGCTTCATTCTCTTCATCTATCTTCTGTGCAAACAGAGGGAAGAAAGAGACAAAGGTGAGTCAAAAAGGGATAATATGATTACATAGCCGTGTAAAATGTAATTTGGCTGAATTAATTTTTGTGAGTGAACTGACAAATTCCAACTAACTTATATGCTTTTAGAGCAGCCTATAAACATACTTTAATTGAAACTGCAACTGTTCTTGTACATTTTTCTTTCACCATTTCCTCACTCTCTCTCACCCTCATCTGCTTAGTGCAACTTAACTGAGCTAATTAAACTGCAAGGGTCACTAAATAATATAGTTAAAGGAAGTGTATCAGAAGAAAGTATAAGACTATTATTTTCCCCAGACACCTGACCCTGCTACTGGAATTTGGTAACCAGTACATTACTTCTTACTTCCATGCATTTCAAAGAGTAGCAATCAGTGTTTTTTTTTAATTATTACTTATGACAACCTCTGTGGTTTTCTTTCTTTAAAAAAAACTGTATTCTGCAGGTTGCCTTTGAAGTTGTCCTTTTCAGTTATGTAGTTTGAGTGCTTCGTATAACTGCAGCATGCGTTTATCTAATTCAGGCTGTAATTATAAAAAGTAGATTAATTCCTAATCAGATGTGGCTGCAACATTAATTTGTACTAGATATCTTATTTCAGTACCAGGGACTTGTTTGTGTCAAATCAAATATATTTAATATCTTTGCATTCCTCAATGCAATACATTCCAATTATCATACATATATTTGGAAGGCAGAAAAATAAAAGCACTTATTATATTTTGGAGATTTGTCGCAGCAATTATTAATGACTTAGGGCAAGGGAAAACTCCCTGTGGAGTCCATGCAAAGACTGTGTTGGCTGCCAAATACAATTCTCAGAATGAGAAAGAAAAGGGGAGTAGTCCCCATATTCTTTGCAGATGTCGCACTGAAGCAGTGTAATGCTACTCAGAAATAGACAAGAGGTGATTCTAGAAGCACAGAGGAAACCTGAAAACATAGGATTCTCTCAACAGATATTAGTCAGGATTGTTCTTGACTGAACTAATTTTTATTTAGTTAAACCTACCTTTAACAAACGAACAAATGGTTAAGGAAGACATTGAATACATATACTATTATAATGCATGTTAATTTTGTTATTTAATGGCCAAACCCCAAAAGATTAAATGTGCCCTGCCCTAACCATATCAAAACTGTACCCCTTGGTGTTTCACTATTGTTGTGTTTACCAGCTATCAACAAAGATTTAACAAACAAACGAGACTTATGAAATAGTTCAAGGTTGTGTGGATTCTCATCCGTTTTGAAGTCAAACAGGGTGAAGCCTGGTTAGTACTTGAATGGGAGACTACCAGCAAATACTAGATGCTGTAAGACAGTGGTTCCCAACCTATGGCCCTTGAGTTCTTTTGGACGTCAACTCTCAGAAATCTAAGCCAGTTTACCAGTTGTTAGGAATTGTGGGAGCTGAAGTCCAAAACAATTGGAGGACCAAAGGTTGGAAACCACTGCTGTAAGGTACATTTCAGAGGAAAGAACTGGCAAACCCTTCTGAGTATTCCTTGCCCAAGAAAACCATATGAAATTAATGAAGTCACCATAAATTAACAGGCAATTTAAAGGCATACAAGCACAACTACTGGGTTATAGCACCTGCCCTAAGCACAGCCAATAGCCCAAACTAGAAAAGAACCATACAAGATATGAAACTGCTGACTTACCAAGTGCTCATTGAATCAGATGTTTTGCTAGACTAACAACTAGATTCATATCCCCTAAAAGAAATAATTACAACCTCTGCCAACATAGAGCTATCTAAATATTGTGGATACTGGGCAAACTGGATGGAGTTCATGAGGGTGCTACACTGCAAAAGGTTGCTTTGGATTATCTCTGTTTTATGCATATCTCCCCATCCTGTACATCAGGGAGGGAGTACTCTTGTGTGTGTCATTGCTTTCTGAAGCTACTCATGGTAGGCCTTTCTATGTGCTCTATCTTCGACACTCCCAGTTCTAGAATACCAGATGATCTTCTTGTTCTGCCAACAATTCAAGCCATTCTCTTTTGACAATCAGTCTGAATTTATTAATGTTTACATTTTCTGATTGTTAGTTTTGGCTGTTTGCATTCTTAGTTTTGGGGGCTGTTTTCAATCTGGTGATGGTTTTTACTTATTTTGCTCAGTTCTCTCACCAAATTCTTGGGATAGGGGGACATACATATATACAGAAATATAGAAATACATACATAAATGCCACAACCCAACAAACTCTTTAATTAACACTTTCCACAATTTTCTACCACCAGCACTCTTTAGAACAGGGGTCCTCAAACTAAGGCCCAGGGGCCGGATACGGCCCTCCAAGGTCATTTCCCTGGCCCTCGCTTAGGGTTATCCTAAGTCTGAAACAACTTGAAAGCACACAACAACAATGATCCTATCTCATCAGCTAAAAGCAGGCCCATACTTCCCATTGAAATTGTTCTTCATTTTAATTATTGTATTGTTTTAAAGTGGTTTTTTGCACTACAAATAAGATATGTGCAGTGTGCATAGTAATTAATTCCTGTTTTTTTCAAATTTTTATCCGGCCCTCCAATGGTTTGAGGGACTGTGACCTGGCCCTCTGTTTAAAAAGTTTGGGGACCCCTGCTTTAGAACATGCATCTCTGTCCTGATTTCACTCAGTTGCTTACCAAACCCACCTCCAGATTTCCCCCCCCCCCCAAAAAAAAAAACCCTTTCCTCATCTGAAGCTATATGTACCCTTTGATCATATGTACTCTTGCGGAGGCCTTGGCATTTGCTCTTCTACAACACTTAGCATTTGTACTTTAAAACAGACACTGAAACATACTGACACTCAGAATCAGACTCTGTAGTGGGCACTGGTTTGCCTCATCACAGCAATTTCAATTAGTTTTTTCTGCAAGTTTCGAACAATCAAACACCTCTCAGAGATAAGCAAAGGATGTGACAAAGAAGACTCTGTTAAAACAATTAATGTCACTTTCCATTATTACTCCAGTCCCAATTTACAGAGCAAATAAATCAAAGTCACAACAGACGATGCCACATTGGCCAGCCAACACATGTCTGTTCACAAGTGACATGGCAGTGGAAATAAATTAGCATAGTGAAAGACATTGGGCGATAGCCTTTGTGCAGCTTCACCATGTGCTTGCTTCTAAGTGTTGTTTTGCACAGGAACATTTTTATTAGTTAACATAGCAAGAGCAGAACTGAGAAGAGGCAAAAAGGGAAAGTACACTCCCCCCTTCTTTGAGCAACAGGACGTTTAAAATGCTGGGAAAAGTTCATTTGGGTGAAGGAACAATTTGAGACACTTGGTGATGACAATTTTTAGGGGCAGAGTCGCCAATGTCTACACTTCTACTACGGACAGGAAAATGAGTCCTTGAGGACTTTGAGAAACAATCTTAAGCAGGCCAACACTGCCTACTTTGTGGCACACTCCCATAGACTATCAACAGAAAGATGGGCCACAGTGCCCTGTGCTTAAGCACACCTAAGCAGAAAGGAAAATCTGGCATGGCCCCTCCCCTTACTCTTCCTCCTCTGTTGCCTGGTTGCTTTCTTGCACCCTCATCCACATGGCCAGTTTCCTTCCTGGGAATGAGAGGCTTTCCCCTCTCATTTTATTGATAGAAGCAGCTGCCAATGAAGCTCCTACTTTGCAAGAGGGAGCCTTTTGTGACCCCAACATTGAAATAAGGGAACCCCATTTGGGGTTGAGGCCCCCAGAGTAAAAAGCTCTGATCTAAAATACATTACAGGGACTGGGATGGAGAGGAGGTGGAGCATTCAACTATTACACCTATGTGCGCTTAGTTAGAATACTGCCTGGAGACTGGGGATTTAAATGTGTACCTAAATTGTCACATAAAATGTTTTAAGAAATGATTTGACAGAAGAAAGAAGCACCAAAGGTGTCAATATTTTCAACCCAACAACCCTTAGAAATGCAAGGCTACAGCTGACATTATTCCTAGCCAGCATTTAGGAAGAGATGAAGCTGAAGGAGGCTTAGGTGGGTGTCCTGGCAGATGCTACACATAATAAAAAAAAGAGTGGAGTCACTTAAGGAAGTATGAGACTTTTAAGGTCCATGGTTAAAACCATATCTGGTCTTTCTCAAAATACAATCTTCTCTAATTTCAGCAAATTGCCTGACATTCCAGTTTCCACCTAAACTCCTGAGTTGTGTGTATGCATGTGTGTGTTACGAACACCAGTAGCTAACTGCCACCACAGACTTCAGGTTGTTAAGCAAAAAGCTTTGGCTAACCAACTAAATAAAAGCCTTAAGAGAAGGTCATTTTGCAAAGTCCCCCGCTCCTGCCCAAGCATAGTGCAATATTCTAACAGATCACTCTTTGGATAATGTTCATTAAAGTGTCAACTCCCTGCTTTGTGCTCATAGCATGAGCCCGGGTGTTGACAGCAGAGGGAGAAAGTCCTGCTGCAGCCAAAAGCTGTAAATTTCACTATTCCAGTATTGCCGTTTACAAGGCTCATCTTCCACTGGGGACATTCCAGCAATTATATGGGAAAGCCTCATCCTGAAAAAGACTGAATAGATCCAGACAGGTGCTGAACGGGAGGTCAATAAGCAAGAAGAACATACTCAGCACCTTGCTGAATGATCCCATATATATTTTTTTCATCTGGATGGCACCATGGAGGTATTCTCACTTTCCATATGAAAATAAAGAATTGCTAAATGCTCATGTAGCAAAGCACAGACAGAACATTCATAAAAACATTACTGGAATTACCCATAACAAAATAATATTTTATATGGTATTTCAAAAATGGGATTCCCTGGATTGACACATGGCCCAAATTTTGTAATAATCTTGCCACTCTAAGGATGGGAAAATCTCTCTGATTCCAAGTAAGTTTCTCTGAATTCCACCTGCAATTTTCTTTCTAAGCCTTCTCATATCACATTGTAAGATTTTTTCTTTCTATGCTGATATTCATGTATACTG